ATTCGTACTACAACTATAATATAGCCACAGCGTGACTTTGCCACGTTAAATATTTCAAATTTACAATAAGATCCTTGATTAATTGAGGAATGTAAAGGAAGTAACAAATTTTAACACTAACATATACAAATGTTTCCGAATATGTATAGCCGTGTAATCTTCGGACAACAATAATAATAGTTGTTCGTGAGAGTTTTTCTAAGTCAATTTTCGAGAACTATTCCGCATCACTTAAAGTGGCGAAAAATTCTATGAATAGCGGTAAAGGAAAAAAGTTGAGTAATGTGTTACATCCATCACTTTGTTTTTTAAATAAAGGAGCTTATTGCAAATGCAAACGATTATTCTAAAAATTTCCCGTCTTTTTACATAAATCTTCTTGTTACCCTGTTTCACAATATACATAAGCATGTTCTCGGTGAGACAGTTTGAAGTGAACAATTGTAATAACCATTGTTTGTTTTTCTTAGTATGATTTTTATATCTTTTGTTTCTGTTTCTTCTCTAATAATGTAAATAAATAAATAATCGTCAAGTCTTTTTTTAAGCTTCAAGGGCTTTGTAGAGCAATAAGGTATTACCACATTTTAATGTAGGACCGCTAATGATTCTTGCAATAGACAGAATTGCATACGGCCCTAGCATTGTACTGGCACTGATACATGCTGTAAGTGAACGATATTTATGTATTGAGGACACTTAATTCATTGAAAACAAATTACAGTCAATTGTATAAAGAGGCTCTTGCAATATATTTGGTTAAATGGTCTTTAAGTTACATTTTATATCATAAAGGGTAAATCTCACAAAAGGTAGCAAGTGCTTTACATTGCCGGATAGCCCTGTTGGTCACGAATGGCCCGTTTCGTCTCCCTTTGACAAATGAACTTCACTCTGGCGATGTTATTTTTATATCCATTTAATACATTTCCATTCCAGTTAATTTAGAACATATTATACTTAATGTATGAATACAAAATTTTATGTTGGCCTCTAACAACTAATTGCGATGAAGAAAGATTCTACTTTGTTGGGCAATAATAACTGTTGTACTACTATTTGTATCTGGCTAGTTTTAATATCAATGCATATAGGACATTAAGAAAAAGAAAAATTAAAAAATAAGTGAATCTAACGAAGTAATTAGTTACCATAGAATACCATAATACATATAATAGTATTCTTCTTCTTTCCAAAGTTTTATTAAAAAAAGGGAAAATCCAACTCAAGTCACGGAAAAAATTTGTGACGGCTTATAAACCTAATGCAGTGTCAGTAAGAAAACAAAATTGTTCCAAGCGTTTTCCGTTCAGGAATTTTGATGTCAACGATGCAACTGGCCCTCATACGGATAAAATCGATGCCATTTTTGAAAAAGTGGAGTAAGATCGGTATGTTACGATATAACCGAGAAATTGAGGATTGACCACAAAAAGTTTTGACCCATTTGAAGAAGTCTGGCTATACAAAAATCTCGATATTTGGGTACCACATGAGCTCACTGAAAGAAACCTAATGAATCGTGAACTCATTTGCGATTCTCTATTGAAACGTAATGAAACCGAACCATTTTTGAAAAGATTGATCACATTTGTGATGAAAAGTGGATCACTTACGACAAGAACGTACGAAAAGGATCATGGTCAAAGGGTAGTTAAGCTCTACAGACTGTAGCGAAACCCGTATCAACACGCTAAAAGGTGATGCTGTGTGTTAGGTGGGATTGGAATGATATCGTTTATTATGAGTTTTAGCGCTGAGAAAAACCACCGAGTCGGATCTCAACTGCCAACAACTAATGAGACTCAAGCAATAAATTGAGAAAAAGCGGCCAGAATTGATCAAAAGAAAAGGAGTCGTCTTTCATCATAATAACGCTAGACCACACTTTGGCCACTCAACAAAAATTGAGGAAACTTGGTTGGGAAGTTTTAATGCATTCACTATATATTCTTGACCATTCTTCCACAGATTTTCACCTATTTCGGTCTCTTTAGAATTCCTTGGGTAGTGTAAGTTTTATATCAAGAGACAACTGTCAAAACTACTTGTCGCATTTTTTTTTTAATCAAAAATCCCAAAATTTCTACAGCTACGGGATTATGTCACTACCCACAAGATGGCAACAAGTTATCAAACAAAATGGCTCATAAATATTAAATGTAATTAAATTAAATGTAATTAGATAATACGAAAGGAATAAAAATTGAATTTATAAGGGGCTTTCTTGATAATCTCAGTTTACAACGATATCTACGAATTCGCCATAAAACTTTTTACATTGCTTTATTTTATTTAGGGTGCGATAAGAATAGAGCATATTAGCTCTCGGCTACTTAACAATAGATATCGCTACTATATTAAGAGGTAACTTTTTACCATGAGGAAAATATGGGTGCAATGTGAAGAATTTTATTTATTAAAAATAAATAAAAAAGATAGTAATAAAGAAGATGAAATCATGTGCATGCTACTTTATTCGTGGGAAGTATTAATGAATTTAGACTGCCCTTAAACACTTAAATCAATGAGAAAATAATAATTTTTAATAATATTTATGCACTTTATTATTACACTGTAAAAGTAAGTAAAGTTACAGCCTATATACGTCCCACTGCTGGGAACACAGGCCTCCTCTCATTTCTGAGAGGGTTTTTAGGGTAAGGAAGTGCCTGCCGCGCTGCCCCAATGCGTATTAAATCACTAAACATCATATTACATTCTATTTACAGGTAATGAAGTCAGTCTCTATATGAATGAATTGGTTTAATTGAAAATGAAAGCATAAATTTTTCCACCGAACTGTGGTGCCAGGAACGCCTTTACATTGTGTTAAGTAATTACCGCAACCCCCAAATTTTTTACCGAGGCACAATGATCTGCTCCGTAGGCGTATTACGTATCTTGCAGAAGGCTAGCGATAGCGAAATTAGAACAATAATTTCTGATAAATCGCAGATTCGTATTACGTACCAGCGAAAACCAAGCCCTAGCTAACTAGCGACCACAAGGCAGCGCCGTCGCTAGTTAGCTTGGTTATCGCTGATGGACCGGTTCTACCTAGTAATCTGTGGAGCTTAAAAAAAGAAGAAGAGGGTAGAAAGCGTGAGAAGCCATATACATCTCTTTGGTTTAAAGTATCCGAATTTGAGATTTTTCAAACCTTTAAAAATTCATAACTCCGAAAATATTAACGTTATCGTAAAAATCGTGGTACATTTTTATTCGTATTTTATCAAAGAATATAAGTAAAAAATTGTCCCGTTTGTAAACAAACAATGCCTTGCAATTGTAAAAAAAATCGGTTTAAACATTGAGTTATATGTACTACGTACTAGAGAAGCCATTTCAAACAAAAACTGTGTCCTACTCAATGTCCTCGCGCATGCGCGGTAGTAGTAGTCGCGCATGAGCGAAGACTTTAATTTGATATAAAATAAGATATTAATATAAAATAAATATAAGAATTTAATATAAAATATCTTAATTTAATCTAAACAAACATATTTCTAAATAAAATTTAATAATTATTATTTTATAGAATTCACAAATTTTCAATTTATGCAATATTTAGTTTGTATGGACTGCACTACAGTTCAGTTGAACATAGTCAATGTTCGGAATGGCTTCTCTAGTACGTAGTACATATAACTCAATGGGTTTAAACAATATGGCACCGAGTTGCCAGTATATCATCATTAAGACAATTTAAAGATAATCGCATTAAAAAAATTGAGGTAGAATAGTTTTCGGTGCTAATGCGCCGATTCCTCCTGGACTATACCTTTGCATGGCAGTCTGTTGTTGATTATACATGAAATTGTCACAAAATAATAAGTTTGTACTCTTCTCAATGGTTAATAATGTTTGAGTAAATTGTTCAAAACTAATACACTAATAATACATACGTGCGTTTTATTATTTATGTTTATAACAGGGTTGTCACTTTGTAAAATTGTGTACAAAACTGTCTGATTAGGTGACAGTTATAATTTTTTAATGATTTAATATATTTAATATTGCACACTAATTAATTTAACTACTGATTTTGTAGGGTATAATTGTAACTTAGTTTAACTCTAGCCAGAAAACTGATTTAAAGATCATACATGATATAGCTGACGTTAAACATTGACGCTCCAGGAAGTATTCAGTTTGAGAACGTAATCAGGATGTCGTATATGGGCTTTAATAGACCGGAAAAAGTCGTAAAAGAATACCGATTGATTTCAGTTATAGAGATGATGTCTGGGTTCACTGCCATTAGCAATGAATATAATAATTAAAAAATAAGTTCAAAATAAAGCTCACCACTGCATGGCTTCACAATAGCGTAAGCTCTTTCTGCGTAAATCAGAATACGAATTAATATTTTATAAAAACTGAAGGAATCCTGCATACAATGACATCAGAACGTTCATAAACTTAATCCCTATAACCATGTGTGTGTGTACTTAAAACGTTAGAAATTAAACATTAGATAAATTTAAAGGTGACAAAATCAATAAAATTAGTTTTACTCAATTCGACGGCTCCGTGGCGCAATGACTTAGCATTGTAGTTGCAGCGCTAAGAGCCGCGGGCTCGAATTGCGGACGAATTAAGTATTTGTATGGCCTACGAATAATTATTCCGGGTCTGGATGTTTGTCTGTCAAAACTGCCCCCATGATACAGAAGAAAATTCTAGTGTGGAGGTAACGTTTTTAAAAAAAAATATTCAAGTAGATATAGAATCTTCTTTTTAACATGAAATCTGATTTACAGAATACAATAAAAAACTTTTTTTTTTATTAATTTATGCGATGAACAATTCCTGTATTTGTTTCTGTTTTTTTTCTTTTTGCTAATCTTTATATTCTTAAAGTCAATTTTTACTCACAGCCCTGGACTTTAACATTACTTTACTCGTATATTTAATCGCATCCGACATATTACCAGAGTTACCAGCCTCGACCTTGTGCTACTATATATAAGTGCAAATTATGTTCAGAATATTTCAGTATTGGCTTTAATCGTAAAAAGTAAGTTTTGGATTGCAAATCTTTATACTAAATAAACTGTCGCAAAAATATTTAAATTTGTGGCGAAGTGATTGCAGCGCATCGTACGAAAATAAATTGATAGTGCTTACGGTCAAGTTATAATGATTCCGCCGATTGCATTGATTCTCAACAGCTTCGTGTAAGTAATTTTGAAACCTTAGTCGAGAGTGTTCGTTGTTTTGAGCGGCCGCCCTTAGGACACCGCAATATAAGACCGTTTTTTGGTCATGCACGCCAAATGTCTCGCCGTACTGAATGCTTCCTTCGAAGCTTTGCTATTAGGCTTTATATTCAATTCAATTGGATTCAATTTCTTTGCTATTCTTGTTGTACATTTGGTCTTAATTTTAAAAAAAATCAAAAAAGAACCCTGCAAGGGCAAATATAGGCAATTATTAATATTATTATTACATTCACACTATAGTATTATTAATAAAATTATCATTTAATCAATATTTGCAATCAACCTAAATATTAATGAGATCATATTATATTATTTATTCCAATTTCCTATTTCCTACTCAATCACTAAAAAACTCCTGCAATGAGTAATAACATTTTTTCATTAAATATTTATTAACTTCCTTTTTAATTTTTTTTAATGCTCATAATGCCTCTGATCTTTTTTGGAATTTTGTTATATATTTCTATTGACATGGCATATGGGCCGGTGTTTACGATTTGTAATTTTTATGTAACTGTAAATAATTTTATTTCTTGTCTTAAATTTTTAGGGCGAATATATTGAGGGAACCAGTCGACATTATTTCTAACTAGTGAGCATATTTCAGATATATACATATAGGGGCGTTAATGTCAGGATATTATAATTGATAAAGTAATTTCCACAACTTGTCACAGAGTCGATATTTGCAAGTATGTGAATACATTTTTTCTGAATTAGAAATACTTTGTTAGCGTCTGTGCTGTTACCCTAAAGTACCACAGCGTAGCGTAGCCAGGCGTGTACGTACGCGTGGTAGGCACAGGTTGCTGTTTTTAAGTCGATTGACGCTTATATTACAAATGTCAAAGTAGCTACTACTATTTTCTCATTTATACGTCGTATACCTTTAAGTAGTTCAGAAGTTCAGGCGTGAAAAGGACCTAATGATTTTTGATTTTTGACAAAAAAAAACGCTTCTTATTTTTTGAACTGTCGAAATGTGAATCGTTTGATAGGTACCTATTTCATTTTCTAATTATCAAGAGATAGCTTTAGTTTTTAATATCGTTGATTTGTAATTCACTTTAGGTAAGTCGATAGTATAATAAATAATAATGTGTGAATACGAAATCATGTTAGATACCAAACACGATAAGTGTATACCAAAAGATTAATGTGAAAAAAATCTTTGTAATATAAAGTTACATTCTGAAGTTAGTAATAAAACAGCGTACAGAAAAATTAATGCCTCTAATTCGGAATGTGAAATTATTTAACGGTTTTCAGAGGATGAAGAAATACACAATATCAATATCGGTTAAATATTTATATTAAAAAATTCTTTCCCTATTTTGAAGACCTTAGGGGTAGATTTTTTTTCTTCAAATTTATAAATACGTGATTAAAATTTGAGATTGCCAAAAGTATATTTTTCGGAATTTAAAAAAAAATTATGGAGAGGTCTGGTAATACTTTATAACCGACAAAAATGTCTGGGATTTTTTTTTGAAATTAGGTAAAAACTAAATTAAAACATAAAAAAGATACCAAGATGCCAAAAAAAATTTTGGGAATTTTTTTTTTTGCAAATGTTATATGCTGCGCAGTAACGAAATAACCGCAAACGCTCTGCCAGACTCGAGGGACTGGATTCGCCAATTGACGAAATTATATTTTTTCACAGTTACAACTTGCCAAAAGGACCTTCCCAAAATTCGTTACCAGCTCTCAGACTACAAAGACATCAGTAATAATGTCAAAAATACAGTCACATTGAGAGCTTCCTCTTTTTTTGAAGTCGGCTAAAAAGGGTGCCAAATTCGGTACATAGTAAATTCATTAAATTAACGGCATTAATAACTATGTCAACACCAGTCGTCTACGATTATCGATTATTTGTAGTTTTCAGATTTTTTCCTTTGCATATGCCTTATGATTTATTTATACGCCTTTGTTGTAGAATGTTGACACTTGCCGAACCACCGTCATCCGATATAGAATGGCAACGGTTAAAGCCGAAGGTAATCAATGTTTTTATATTTTACGAAATGCATAATGTGAGTATACATAATTGAACTGAAAAGAAAATATTTTCGAAAATAATGCATATCAAATAATGTAGTCAAGTTTCGATACTATTTAACTTTTAAATATTTATTTGTATTATAATGAGTTCAAGTCTATTCCACTCCCTTGGTTTTCTTGTTTTCTATCAGTTCCTAATAGTTCACTTGACGTGGGCCTGACATGGTTGGCTGGTGGATGGTAATCGTATTACCAGGCGACTAGTACCCGTCGCCGGTCTGATTATTTTACATCTGGCTCATAAGTTATGGTATGCGTTACAACTTGCTACTGCGTGGCTCCGGCGACCACCTGAGAATAGAAATCCATATGAAAACGTTTTCTATTCTTGATTTACGAAAAATACTACACACTACGTATACGCTACTATAAATACTAGTGCTGGTGTCATTCACAACTTTTTAAGATCTGGCCAGTCGATTACAGCAGATCTGTATTGTCAACAATTGCAAACAATGATGAAAAAGCTATCCGTTAAACAACAGTGACTGATCTCTAGCCCACTGTGCTTTAGGGCAGCGCTAGACCAGACATTGCACGACAGATGGTTGCAAAATTAGAGGAGCTGCGATTGGAATGTCTCCGACACTGGACTGTGTGCTCACTTGTTATCCTTATCCCATTACCTGAGCCCATTAAGGGGCTACTCCATGCGAACGACCTTGAGCATTTGGTGTGCCGCGCCGACTCGCTACAATATAATATCACGTAAGAAATATGTAAGGCGCCACCTACTGTAAGAACGTAATATTTTTTCAACATCAATAAACTATTTTATGGAAATACACAGAGCGTACAACGATAAATGTATCTCAAATTTTTTATTCGGTATATTATAGTTGCATTATATTAGAGTTATGTATTCTCATATAATATTATCTAATTATGAAATTTTATAATTAATTATATATTAAAAATGAAGCATTGAAAATTGTGAGTTTAAAAGATACCTACTCACTATAGGTAAATAGATAGATAGCTCGCCTTTTGTACAAATATTTGGTGCAATAAAGAATAAATAAATAAATAGGATGTTTCGCAGAGTGAGAGTAATATAGAATGAGAGTCGTGGAGGCAGTTTACAAACATAAATTGCACAAGGACAAACATCCAGACCCGGAACAATTATTTGTAGGCCATACAAATACTTGTTCCGTGCGGGATTCGAACCCGCGGCCCCCAGTGCAGCAACTGATTGCTAAGCCAGTGCGCCACGGAGCCGTCGCCGGTTTATAGCTAAAGTGACCATACGTCCCGTTTTGAACGGGACTGTCCCTTTTCTCAGTCACCTGTCCCATTGTCCCCAAACAAAGCTCCGGGACACAAAATTGTCCCGTTACTCGTTGGATGGAAGTATTCAAAGTCAACAATCTTCAACATAATTTTTTTTAATCGAATATATTTTATGTCTACCTGGTACGAATGCTCCGGTAGAAAGAGTATTTTTTTATTTTGCATAAATTGTGGACGTCTCAAAGAAACACTTACGGTTCCAGAGTTCTAAAGGCGATGTTGTTAACAAAGATAACAATAAAAAACTTGAGCAGAATTTTATTCTTATTTAAAATCATCGCCAACTTTATTAAAGCAAATTTAATCCACTGACAAATGTAATTAATAATTAAAAAAAATATGTTGCATTTAATAATTACCGTCTATACCGAATATAATTTTATAGTGAACACTAATTGTATAAAGTTATAGTTTTTAGAGTATAAATAAACCCATGTCCTGTTATGAGTTAAAAAATAAATGGTCAGTTTAGTCTTTTTAGTTAAATTTAGTTTTAAAAATTTTTAGTTTATAGTAAAAAGTAGGTATATTAGTACTTTTTACCGAGTTATAAGTATAGAACACCTTATGTACTCAATTATTTTTTGAAAAAGAAGAAAAAACAAGCAATAAATAATATACTATATTTTAACAAAAAACTATAACTAAGTAATACTAATTATAACTTACAACATAAATCAAAAACTCATAACTGACTTTTTGGCCCGACCCAGGATTCGAACCTGGAACCTCATGATCAGCAGTCGCACTACTACAACCACTAGACCAACGAGGCAGCACTATACCTGATAAGATATTGTGGTTGGGTGATAATATTGAATTAGCCTTTTATAGTGTAAATTATAATATTTGTCGAAATTTTAATTATGGATTCGAACCTTATATGCTAATGGTGCTTCATTTTTTTATTTGCATTTACTTCAAAGAAAATACACGCAAAAATCTTCATCGCGCAGTAAAAAACACAACAAATATATGTATAACTAATACGAAAAATTATACCCAAAACAAACAAATAATACTACCTATAAATAACCTAATAAGTAATAATATTATCGACTCATATGACGTGGCGTATGCGTTGGTCGACGCTCTAACGACACGGGCTTCACGTCGAAGAGCTCAGCGCTCACTGACTTCAACAAGCCCGTGAGCAGTAAATATGCCCAGATTTTAAAATAATTTCTTAATAAAATCAAATTTTGGTCTTTTGAAAAAAAATTTACTATAGAATTGTTTATTAATAAATTGCCTATCCATTGGTGTAAATCGCAAAATAAAATAATACTTACTTTACGAGGAGATGCATGTTATCAATAATAATTTCACATTTATGTGGTTTCGTTGTAAGGAGATTATATTAATATATATTCCTTTAAAAAAAAATTGGATATAGCTTTTATGGAATCAAGATTATGTAGAAATATAATGTGTTTTTTATTTGTTGATATATCTTTTAAATAAAAAGTAGATAGCTCCTAAAAAGCGCCCAAATAACGACTAGCGCGACATTTTGCTCAACCTGCGCCTTAAAGTAATGCAACGGCAATCAATTTACTCTGCAGCCGAACGTAATAGAGGCGGAGATCCTAACAGTGTGCTGCAATTTCCTGTCAGCGTATGCTTTGCTTTATTAATTAATAAGCACAGTGATTGATGTTACACATAGCGAGCGTTGATCTTACCACAAGGTTAACTGCTTTAGCAACGGCCAGTTGCTTTATCGCAAGTGAGTGTTGCCGCCAAAGTCAGACACTATCGTGTATGTAGGAGATTTCTGAAGCGTCTAAAAAAAATAATTAAATTTATGATGAGATACTTATTCTATAGATTATTTTTATATCGTGTTAACGATTAAGTCTTTTCCATGTCTTTTTAATGTTATAAGTTTCATTTCAAGGTTAATGTTAATAGTTTTAGTTAATATTCTTACTTCAGGGTATATTATTTGGACACAATGCGGTAACCATTTCGAGCTAATTCCAAGATCCGTAACTCAAAAATTTCTACACACTTATAATTTTGCATACCATATAAGGACTCCGATAATACAACACTGTTGAAAACGTTATTAGTGTGGTAAGTTCCTACTTTTGTACTTGAAATTAACTGCACCAATAACTTGGTCGAAATTTAATTTTTATTGTTTAAATTAAAAAAGCAAGGAAGCATAAACACAAGAAAAATCGCACCGGAGATGAAGATAAAAATTTAATTATTTATTTAGATTTATAAAACGATTTTTTTATAACTTCTTCATGATACCCCACCAAAAACATAAATGTAAAAAGGAGTCCAACGAGTGAAAAAGAGTTGTCGGCTTCAACGATAAAAGAGATGAGATTTTAATGGACGCCAAGCTTCTTCTTACAAGTTCTAAAAACATTCTACATACTTAAATTTCCTATAAATTAAGCATGTTAATTAATTCATCGCCGAATCCGACAACCGCGAAAATCCTTTTTACATCTATGTTTTTGGTGGGTTAGCATTAATTTTTAATTCTTTTATCCTATTATTAATTCAAATAAATACATGACCTTCAATTTTTTTTGCGTTTGCGCTTTAACGTTTTCTATATTACAAGCTTTTATTTAACTTTTTTGTATATTTGTTCGAGTCAAATCTTGCTACTGAATTTTAAAGCAGTTATCCTCAAACGATTGAGCTGCAATTTCGCATACACGTTTAATTTGGATAACAATGCATGGTCAGCTAAATAACGTCATACTATAATATCCAATATGACGGACCGCCCAAGATAGTTATTATTTTATATTCAAACTATAAGAATTAATGTCGACAACGTAATTGGTGCGTTTATTGGTAGTTTAAAATACAGTAATTGAAACTAACCGCAAAAACAACTTTGTCGACAACGAATATCAATAATAAGCAGTTTCAATATTTTTTCATTGTATATGCCTAATGATTTAACTTAGTGCCAAATATCATATTTGTAAGTAACCCAGAAGTGGCTTAGGTATTTGTTTAGTGAGTCAGTTAATATTGCATGAACTATGAAAGTCTTAGAGATAATGAGATCTTATTAGGTATGCAAAATTACAGGTGTGTAAGTCTAATAGTTTTTATGTTATGGAGGATTCAAAATTGAAACAGCCAATTTTGAATGGTTTTTTTCCCTTTTCTTTTCTAAATTCGGCTGACTTTTAGATATTCTAGGTATTTAAAGATACCTCATTAGGTATGCAATAATACAAGTGCGTATTACTAATAGTTTTTGAGTTATCGAGGTTTCGAAAGTGGCTTGAAATGGTTCGTAGAAATATATATACTTCCGGTGCCTCGTCCCTCTATTTCTGACCTTGGCTGACCCACTGTCGTGTGTTTAGATTCAGACAACGTCTTTATTAATAAGTGCTGTATACATTATGTTCTTTAAGTATAATTTTAAAGTTACTCAAAACAGAAACGTAATTTGTTTTGTATATTATAAAGTGTTTCATAATAACTTCAGAAAACCATTTATTTATTTTCAGTACGACGAAGTTCATTTTACGCCAACACAATTTCCCATAATCGATAATGGAATATTAACAAATGGTAAAACGAGTGCAAAAATGTCTGGAACTGAAGATTTAAACGAAGACTCAGATATAATTTTCTGTGATAAAACGCAACATAAGAAAGTAATGGAGTTATTACTCCGAGACATTCAACGGGGTAATCATCTATTGCTAGTTGAGAACTGGGGATTGAAAAATAAAAAAATCGCAGACAGTCTGGTACAACATTTGAATCGCCCTATGAAATATACACAATTGCACCGCGATTCAACCATACAGTCCTTGACAGTACACCCAACTATCAAAAATGGAACAGTCATTTACGAAGATTCACCACTCGTCAAAGCCGTTAAATATGGCCATGTGTTAGTTGTGGATGAAGCGGATAAAGCGCCAACAACAGTGACAAGTAGCTTAAACACTTTAATGGAAAATGGAGAGATGGTACTGAGCGATGGCAGAAGGATAATTTCCAGGAAAGTTATGAATAGTTCTGGAGGAAAACCATCTGGTACTATTCCTGTGCACGATGATTTTAGAATGATAATCATGGCTAGTCAAACTGGATTTCCGTTCTTGGAAAAATACTCTTCTACACCTGTAGGTAATTTTAACGTTGAAATAATCAACTTTTCGTATTTACTTTTAGGATTTGCTATAATTTAAATTGTTGATAGTACTGGTGATAGTAGCAACAGAGTCCTTCTTAGCTTATAAGTCTCACTAATACTGGTCCTGCAATTTTCGGGATGGTACTTCACAATCTGCCAGAAGTCACGATATGATTGAAGCTTTCCCTTGGCGACATTTAAATACTTACGATGACATGCTTGATACTGCTATACGTGGTGGAGCAATGCTGGGGTTGAAGCATGAAAAGAATGACTCGAACCCTAAATAACAAAACGCGGATATCACTGCAAAACAGCAGAATAATAGTGCTCTGTTTTTTTATGGTAAATGACGAGAACCGGAGACCCTGTTTACTTTTCATAAGACATTTAATATTAATCCTCAAAGGTTACAATGAAAAAAAGAAATATAATAAAATAAATAATAATATAAAAAAAGAAAATAAATGTAGATGTCTATAGCTTACAGAATTCACTTACTACCAGTAAGTGAACTAGTGCGTAAGTGTGCATCCACAGTAAATGCGCGGCGACTAGGGCCTGTTGCGGGTGCGACGGCGGGAGCGGGCAGTGGCCACAGTGACGAACGATGTTGGAGTGCTTAGACCGTATTTCAGGTGTTGCAAACCGTGATGATCTGAGACATTACGATCCTGAGATGGGAGATGTTGAACATAAGAGAGGGTATGCACGAAATAAATAAGAACAGAGAAATAAATGGTAATTTTTTTTTACTTTGTACAAAGAATTGAGATTATACCCTAGAAAATGCTTTGAGTACACTCGAATTTCCGTATCAACATTTGATTATATCATGAGTAAAATATCACTTAAAATCAGAAAAAAAAATTGAAAACGCACTAACGCCGAGCAATAAGACCAAACTGGTTTGATATCCCACCCACCTGCGCATTGGGTTGCTTGCTGACTAGGCCTGTAGTGTGGCCATAATGCGCAGATAGGAGTAGGAACGTTTGAACACTACATGCACTACCTCGCTCATGCCCGTCGCGCTTGGTGCCCACATTAGTCACTACACTATGGACACAAACGGCGATTTCATATGTTTGATACTTCACGCCCGTCGTCGCAACCGCGCTAGGCTTGCATTGTTAACCAGGGCTAATAATTCATACGATTTAGGCATAAAATCTCTAGAGAGACTAATAGGTTAGTATGTGAGTCGAAAGTAGAAAAGACTAATTGTAATCGATGTTTTCTTCATTAGCAGGTCATGAAGACAGAGGTGTGTACAACGCCAGTTTGTCGCTGCCACCGAGAGATCGTTTGCGCCGCCGCCGTCAAGTTTCATGTATGTGTGTTGATTCATTTTGGAGTGTTTAATATATTGTTGTACTATTTAGCACGAGTATGGTTACAGTTGCTTATTTCCAATTATTAATGAATTTCTATGAAATGATTCATAAGTATTGTCCTTATCATTACAGCATCAAAAAATCATGAGATAGGCATCACCGTCAAAGCAGTTGGCTCTAACCCAGCGGTCACCACTGTCGTGATGGGCTCCGATGGCACGGGACCACATACTGCTACAGCAATAGCCTCGGGTACAGCAGTCGCTATTGCAACAGCATTGACCTATGGTACGGGAGCCTCGACAGCTACCGCAGTTGCTGACGGCAAATCAGTTGCCACCGCTATAGCACACTCATACGACGTAGGAGTCGCCACTGCCACAGTTAGCACTCATGACTCATCATCTGCAGAAGCTACAGCGCACGCACACAACAAAGGAGTCGCTACCGCCACAGCAAACGCGTCTGGCTCAAAAGTCGTCATGGCCAAGGCGATTGCCAAAGGCAACCAAGTGATCATCGATACACAAACTAAGCCGTGAACCTAGATTTATAAGAAATTTTAAACATGTTATAAAATATAACGAATTTAAATATACTTGTGGTCAGTAAGAAAATGGATGTTCATTGAAAAGTCGGGCGATTGAATCTGAACAGAATAAAAAAATAAGTAGTAACAAATATTTAAATAAAATATTATATATGTCGGATAATTATTCAACAGACCCTCTGTTCAAACTTGATTTAAGAAATTGAACACAAAAACAAAATGCGAGGTGCATCATAGTATTTCACCAACGAAATAACCCTCGCACTATTCAAAGATTGGTTGGGCAGTAACAGGGACTTTATCCCACTTCTGATGTCGGATAATTATTCAACAGAGGATCACAATTTGTGGTCTCGGAAATACATCAGGATAGCATTAATTGTTAAAAATAATAAAAGTGTGAGAGCGGATGTTCAACTTGCTCTCTTGCTTACGCAGTTTAATCATTATCAGTAAAAAAGACAACGTAACGCACTATACATTCATTATAGTGAAATTACAGTTCGATCACACCGTAACACGTCTCCGCCACAATCACACACCAGTGTAACGTGAGGTACGTAATTACATGATAACACCAAATATGTAAACTAACAGCAACACTACTTATCTCAACGTAACAGGGCAGCATCTCAGCGACACCAAACCTCCTTGCCTGTACTAGAAGAATTACAACAACGAACAGAACCACGACACTATCTTAGCACTAGTAGAGTGACCGCACTCGTATATAATAAATATATCAAATATTACTAAAAATAATATAATTGTGTATAGCGATGACATGGGAAAAAATCTAGGCATAACTTTAAATAAGGGACAAAAAGTTACAAATTGCTGCATGCCTGGAGCATCTTTTAGTGACATCCTAAATAAAATTATTGTGACTAAAGGAGAACGGTCACGCCCCATAGAAAAAAAACCCAAACCCGACAGAATCGAGACATATCTCAGTTTTTGTTAAACTTTATGTGGTTAAATTAAATATTTTTTGATATTCAAAATCAATGGCTAACACCAAAATATTGCCTTATGTTTTTGTTTAGGCGTTACTCTAAAAAAAAATACAAAATGCCTATTTATCTACAAAATTCGTAAATGTATGTAACTAAATGACGATACAATAGCTATGGGATGTATGTATCTAGGTGTCCTGGAGATATAATAAAATACAATCAACTTAGGATTCATTAAAATCGTTGTATTCGATGATTCACTGCACATCGGAGATTTAGGTACCTATCATTAGGGATCCATGATAGGAAGAAAGAAAGAAAGAAAATAAACTTTATTGGCACAGCGATGCATGCACATTTACAAATGGTTAACAGACATTAACACTGTGCCAAAACAGGCTTCCGCTCAGCATTTGTCGCGCTGGTCTTCCGTGGACACCTAATACATGATCTATAACAAAAAGAAAAAAAAATAAAACCAATATGTCGAAATAAAGTTTTATTGAATTTCTATGCCCCTTAAAACATAATCCATGCCCAGTACGGTCAAAGTAATCTCGATGTCTAGCCCACCCTAAGTAATAGACAACACTAATGAGGTGTGAGCAACTTACCAATGTCCTTTTACCATGGTAGCACGAACAGTAATATTCTGTTATTACGTTTATACCGTTCATATTCTCATCAAACATAATATAAGTATAATACATTTTTGTCGTAACGTGTCGTATATGAATTCTGCACCCGATTACAGTATTATTGTTTCTGCCCTCTACTGCCAATCTCCATACCCGTGGTTTTCAAATGCTCACTGTAGTACGACCGTGCTAACCTCACGTGATAATTTAATGAATCCAAGTTGATTGTTGTACTAGGAGTTTAAAAATTACATAATCCAGCTGCATCTCCAGGTCACCTAGATACATCCCATAGCTATATCGTCATTTAGTTACATACATTTACGAATTTTGTAGATAAATAGGCATTTTGTATTTTTTGTTTATCGCCTGAACAAAAACATAAGGCAATATTTTGGTGTTAGCCATTGATTTCGAATATAAAAAATATATAATTTAACTGTATAAAAAATAACAAAAAAAACTAAGATATGTCTCGTTTCTGTCGGATCTGGGTGACAGATGACCGTTCTTCTTTTGCCGAAATAGTACAATAATAATTTTTGTTGGTAGAAGAGACTTGTGTCTGAAGTCGAGTCTTTGCTGGACAAAGTCTCGGATTGGGGGCGACTAAATCTAGTCCAGTTTAATCCTCAGATGACACAAATTTGCGCGTTTACCGCTAAAAAGAACCCCTTTGTCGTATCTCCTCAGTTTCAAGGCACTCCCCTTCTCGCCTCAGCCAGTATCGGAATCCTCAGCATCGACATATCGAGTGACGTGCAGTTTCGTGGTCACTTGGAAGAGAAGGCCAAATTGGCCTCTAAAAAGCTTGGCGTGCTCAGCAGAGCGGGACAGTATTTCATGCCGGCACAACGCCTGCAACTTTACAAGGCGCAGGTTCGGCCTCACATGGAATAATGTTCCCATCTCTGGGCAGGGGCTCCCCAGTGCCAGCTCCTTCCACTTGACCACATCCAGCGCAGAGCGGCTTGAATCGTCGACGACCGAGTACTTTCCGATCGGCTCGAATTATTGGCGCTGCGAAGAGATATTGCATCTCTTTGCATTTTCTTTCGCATTTATCATGGTGAGTGCTCTGAGAAATTGTTTGGATTAATCCCAGCCACCAAATTTCACGAATGCACATCGCGGCAGAACTCCCGATACCATCCACACCATCTGGATGATTGGCGGTCCACCACTGTGCGATTTAGAAGATGTTTTCTTCCTCGCACAACTTTCTTGTGGAATAGTTTACCACCAGCGATTTTTTTCGCACCGATAAGACTTAGGGACCTTCAAAAAAAGAGCCTACTCCTTTTTAAAAGGCCGGCAACGCATCTGCAATTCCCCTGGTGTTGCGGTTGTTCATGGGCGACGGTAGTCACTTACCATCAGGTAAGCTGCATGCTCGTTTGCCCCCTCTCCTATAAAAAATAAATAAATTTGACATATAATTGTAATGATAATAATCATAAATTTCATGTAATTGACATACATAATTTAATACAAAAGTTTTGAACAAAAGATAGGTATTACCTATCCAAATATAATTTAAGACTGGTAGCAAATGTGCTATCTTATTATTTACTTTTTAAGTCAGCCAAGTTTTTGGCTACCAAGACTGATTTTATTGAGCATAATCATTTGACATTTAATTTGGAATCAGTTCCAACTAATTTAAATTAGTGAATGTGACAATAGAGGCAATCTCTAGCAATAATAAGAGTTAAATTAATTTTGAATACAGCCCACAAATAAGTAATAAAAATTGTTTACACCTGGTGCATCAAAATATACAAGGTATGATGGGTAAAGAGTCGGAAGTTGAAGTGTTTTTAAATAGTAACAATATGCACATCCTTTGTATTACTGAACGTTGGTTAAAAGATTATAATTTCATGTTTAATTTCAGAAATCACCAGGTGATCAGTTCCTTCAATAGAGAAAAAAGTTTACGTGGTGGCTCCTTAATATTAGCAGATAAGTCATTATTATATAAAAAACGTAAGGATATAGTGAGCCTCTCTGTTGATCGAACTGTAAAAATGGCTGGTGTCGATCTCGAGCACCTCATTGTTGTAAGTGTTTACAGACCCCCATATGTTACTTATGACTATTTTCAAAGGATTGTGGAAGAAGTTTTGCTCAAACTTAGTAAACAGAACAAGTCTGTTATAATATGTGGAGACTTTAACATCAATCTCCTTGAAACTTCTTCCATTGGTATTAAGTTTAGCTCATTGCTTAAATCGTATAATCTTGTTAATTTATTCTTAGAACCAACACGTATTGCTGGGCCTAGTGCGACCTGTATAGATAAAATTTTTACAGATGTTAAGCCCTTGCATAAATAAATTATTCAAAATTTAAGTTCAGATCACTGTGGCCAGTTGCTATCACTACCTTACTCGTACATACACAAAAAACAGAAAAATAAGAAAATTGTGTTTGTTCCAATAAATGAACATCGCTTGGAGAGGTTTAGAAGTAATATAATAAAAATACTTCCATCACTTTCGTTAAAAAATAGTGCTAGTTATTTGTATGCTACATTATAATGATTTCTTATATTTACGCGAACACTACACATTTTTAAATAAAACTAATTTTACGGATTTTATCGTGTATATTGACTTATTTTTAACTTATTTTTATATTCCCGACGTTTCGGGTGCTTTCCAGCACCCGTGGTCACGGGGGACTGAGTTGTTTGACGTCCTGCTGTCATAGTTAGCCCGGCTACCTTCAGTTTTTTAATATTAATTTTTGGTTCGATTTACGCAGAATGAGCTTACAGTATCTTGAAGTCTAGCAGTGGTATACTTGGGTTTGGATTTGATTTTATTAATTATGGGATCCCAAGCAGATGGCAGCACCCATCCATCTTCTCTATTGAAATTAGGATGTTTTTTAATTTCAATAGCCTCGCGAATCATCCTTGGGAGGAATCGGTGTTCTTTTGCGAGGATTTGTGGTCTATCAAATCTAATGTAATGACGGGGACGATCCTGAACATGTTCACAAACTGCAGACTTCCCGATACGTCGGTGCTTCACGTCAGCTATATGTTCTTTAACGCGGGTTTTAATAGATCTTTTTGTTTGTCCTATGTACGAGAGACCACATTCACAATCCAGCTTGTACACTCCTGCATCTTGTAGAGGGATATGACACTTGACGGATGGTAAAAATTGACCAATCTTCTTCAGCGGCTTGAAGTACGTTTTAATGGAAGCTCGCTTCAAGATGTAGCCAACCTTGTGTGTGACTCCTCTGACATAGGGTAGTACAGCAGGCACACGCTCGACTGTGGCTGGCTTCACTCGGTCACTGTGACGTAGGCGCGGGACCCGAAGCTTGTTGTCTTGCAGTACTTGCTCGACGTGCTGAAGCTCGGCGGCCAGATGTTTTCTGTCACAGATCCCTCGTGCTCTCTGAAACAAAGATTTTCCCACGGTAGCTAACTGTGAAGGATGATGGTGAGATTCACCATTTAAATATCGGTTGGTATGGGTATTTTTTCTGTAC